ATACATGCATTGCTTTTGTAATTGGAAGCATAATGCTTAAAATGACATTTCTGTTAAAAAAAAAAATTAGCCAGGCATGGTGGCATGCACAGGTAGGCCTAGTTGCTTGGGAGGCTGAGATGGGAGGATAGCTTGATTTCAGGAGTTTGAGACCAGCCTGGGCAACACAGTGAGATCCCAGCTCCACATAACATTAAAAAAAATTAGCCAGGGGTGGTGGTGCTTGCCTGTGGTCCCAGCTACTCGGGAGCTGAGGTGGGCGGGGTGGTGCAGTGAGCTGTGATTCCACCACCGAACTCCAGTCTGGGTGACAGATAAAGACTCTGTCTCAAAAATGAAGAAAGAAAGGAAAGGAAGGAAGGAAGGAAGGAAGGAAGGAAGGAAGGAAGGAAGGAGGGAGGGAGGGAGGGAGGGAGGGAGGGAAGGAAGGAGAGAAAGAGAAAGAGAGAAAGAGGAAAGAAAGAAAGAGAGAAAGAAAAAGAAAGAAAGAAAAGAAAAGAGAAAGAGGAAGGAAAAGGGAAGGAAGGGAAGGAAGAAAAGAAATAAAAAATATCACAGCATCCCCTCCCTGGCTGGATAACCCTAGAGAGTTTGGAGACCAGGATCCGAGAGGGAAGCAGCTCAAATAAAATAACCCATGCCATAGCCAGGTGCGGTGACTCACGCCTGTAATCCCAGCACTTTGGGAGGCCGAGGCAGGCGGATCACAAGGTCAGGAGATCGAGACCATTCTGGCTAACACGGTGAAATCCCGTCTCTACTAAAAATACAAAACTTAGCCGGGCGTGGTCATGGGCGTCTGTAGTCCCAGCTACTCGAGAGGCTGAGGCAGGAGAATGGCGTGAACCTGGGAGGCAGAGCTTGCAGTGAGCTGAGATCGCACCACTGCACTCCATCCTGGGCGACAGAGCGAGACTCCGTCTCAAAAAAAAAAAGAAAAAAAAAGAAAAACCCATGCCGCAAAGGATGACAGGCACAGACCCCGGCTCAAAGGTTTGGAGATTTGGGGAGCTGGAACTGCTCCGGCACCCCCACCAGATGCACAGGGTGTGTGAGGGAGAGCAGCAGCCTCCCAGGAGGGGAGGGCAGGCCAGAGCAAGTTGCCCACGCTCCTCACAGCCACAGTGTTCCTTCCAGGCCCACGCTGCCCCGGGTGCTGTATCTGCCAGCTTGCCAGGCCTCATGCCGTAGGCCAGAGCTCTCAACCTTGACCTACTGAGGTTTGGGACCAGATAATTCTTTCTTAGAGAAGAAGGTGGAGGGCTGTCCTGTGTCTCGCAGGACTTGTGGCAGCATCCCTGGTGTCCGCCCACCAGAGGCCAAGAATACTTCCCCCACCCCCATGTCACAACCAAAAGTGTCTCCAGGCAGGGCCCAAAGCTCCCCAGTGCGGCCTGCAGTGCCCGGGGGAGTCCCCAGCCCACGGGGCCCTGCCGGCACTCAGCCCTGGCTTATGGCAAAGTAGGCCTGTGTGTGGAAGTTGCGGGGCCCAGAGAGCCCTCCTGCAGGCTCTCTCCCCTGCTCCCCTTTCTCTCAACACAGACCTGCTCCTCCAGAAATGCAGGGTCCTCCTTCTACACTGGGGCAAAGAGCAGGGGAGAGTCAGGGGACCTGCGTCCTCATGGGGATCACAGCCTCATGAAGGGGTGAGTGGGACTTGGGATTCCTGAGCTCGTTCCTCGTCATTTCTCCACAGAGGATTTCAAACCATGGGAGCCCCTGGAACCGCCCCATCCTCCCCTCCCGGTCTTTACCCAACACTTCCCCCATCTTGGTTCCTCTGGCCTGATCTGGGCACCCCCACGTGGAGCCTGAAATGGCACAGGCTTGGGTAGAGGGGGTGGAAGTCCTTATCAAGGCTGGAGAACAAGTGATTTAGAGAGAAACCTCTGGAGGAAGGCTCCTCTCCAGGGTCGTCCTGGCTTCCTTGGGTACCCTCAGTAGCAAGTGACAGAAACCCTCTCACATGAGCAGGTGCTGAAAAGACCTGCCCTGCCTTCCCCTGACTGGAGGGGTGCAATTCCGTCTCCCCCACTGGTCCTCTGCTCTGTCCAGGAAGCGCCAGGCTTTTCCGACAGGCCCGATCCTGACTGCCCCCACCAGTTTCTGCCTCTTGGGACCTATCCTTCTCCCAAAGTGCCCAAAGTATCTTGAGTTAGGGTCACCAAATTTAGTAAATGAAAACATAGCAAGCCTGGGCAACATAGCAAGACCTTGTTTCTACAATCAACAACAACAACAACAAAACCCAGGCACGGTGGCATGTGTTTTTGGTCCCAGCTACTCAGGAGGCTGAGGTGAGAGGATCACCTGAGCCCAGAAGGTCAAGGTTGCAGTGAGCCATGATCGCACCATTGCATTCCAGCTTGGGAGAAAAAATAAATAAATAAAAGAAAAATAAACACAAGCGAAAGAAACTTACTAAAACACAAATTTTAAAAGAATTAAATAGAACCCTGAGAAGTAAAAAGTAGTTGATGGAGCTGTTGGGCTGGACAGAGGGGAGGTCCCCAGCTGGCCCCAGGGACTTCTCATTCCTCTTGCAGAAAGGAAAGGGGCTTCTCCTGCAAAGCAGCTGCAGATTCGCTTATCAAAATGTTTGCTTTTCTTTTCTTTTTTTTTTTGAGATGGGGTCTCGCTCTGTAGCCCAGGCTGGAGTGCAGTGGCATGATCTTGGCTCACTGCAACCCCTCCTGGGTTCAAGCGATTCTCCTGCCTCAGTCTCCCGAGTAGCTGGGACCACAGGCATGTATCACGGTAGCAGGACAAGCTGCAGACAAAACTCCTCAGACACCGGGGTAAAGAAGGAAGTGGTTTATTTGGCCGGGAATGTCGGCAGATTCGCGTCTTAAGAGCTGAGCTCCCCGAAAAAAGCCTTTTTCAAGGCTTACAACTTTAAGGGGTCCACATGAAAGGGTCATGATAAATCGAGCAAGCGTGGGAAACGTGACTGGGGGCTACATGCATCAGCTAACAGAACAAAAAGTTTTACAATGCTTTTTTCATACAGTGTTTGGAATGTACAGATAACACAAGTAGTTTAGGTCAGGGGTTGATATTATTATTATTACTTTTTTTAACTCCTAGGACCGAATGGTGGTGCCAAGGTTGTCTGGCTATTTATCTTACTTTTTTTTTTTTTTTCCAACTTTTTGCTTTTTTTATGCTCTTGTGAACTAGACAAGGTGCGGGGAGGAGGGCAGCAGGAGTAGTAGTGGTCTCCTTCCTTACCACCATATCCAGCTAATTTTTGTATTTTTAGTAGAGACTGGGTTTCACCATGTTGGCCAGGCTGCTCCGGAACTCCTAACCTCGTGATCCACCCCTCTTGGCCTCCCAAAGTCCTGGGATTGCAGGTGTGAGCCACCGTGCCTGGCCCAAAATGTTTTCTTAAATGTGTTCTGTGCCTGGGCTTTGATTATCAACATGTTGAATGGCACGTCTGATCACCATAATTTTGAAGTGGTGACGGCTGTAAATTTCAAGGTGTCTGTGACAACAGTATTTGATGTGGTCATTTCATGGGTGTTGCATGTGAGGTCACATTCATACCCGAAGGAAACATGAAATTTTCAGTCAAGGGCAACCAAAAAAAAAAAAAAAAAGAGGTAATTTTCCCCCCATCTCAGTTCACAGATTCTCTGAATTTTGATTTCTGATTTCCAGGTTAAGAAGTGGCTCTCAACCAGCATTTAAAAATAAACAAAAATAAAAATAGAAGTAGAGAAGAGAAAAAAACGCTAGTGTGTATTTCATGCAGAAAGATGAAGCTGGGTTGTGAAATCTTTGCCTAGGTCTGGTGTTCAGGGGCCAGACTTTGCAGCTTGGCCACCTCAAGGTGAACTTCCAACTCTACCTCTAACTGCTGTGTAGGACAAGTGACTTTGCACTCAGTGCCTCAGTTTCCTCATTTTGCAGAGATAATTAAAGTCCTGTCCTTCAATTGTTGTGGGTGGGGACTTTGGGTGGAGCCCCTGAAACAGGACCTGGCCCTTCCCCTGATCACTGACTGTTTGTTGCATTAGATGATCACTGACTGTTTGTTGCATTAGATGATCACTGGGTGTTTGGCTGTTGCATTACACGTGTTACTTCCTGTTTCTCAAGTAGGATCAATTTCTCTCTGTGGATCATGGTCCCAAAGGGCTGAAAACCCTGTCTCTGGAGGCCCCTGGAGCTCTGATCTTGGCAAGTGCCGATGTGGACTTGGAGGCTTGGGAAGGGGACATGAAGAATGGGCCAGGTCTAGGGCTTATACTGATTTCCTGTTGCTACTGTGACAAATTACCACAGTGTGAGGCCTACTATCTCCAGCCATCTGCATCTCCTGCCTTTGCTCATGTTGAGCCCTCAAACTGTAATGCCCTCCTCCCCTTGTCTCCACTTGGCCAACTGTCCCTCATCCTTTAAGACTTACCTCAGACATTGCCTCCTCTAGGAAGACTTCCCTGAAGCACATCCCCCTCACCTCACCTCTGGGCAGGTGCCCACACACAATGACCTACATGTGTCCCCAACCATGCAGATGGCAAAGTGAACTGCCACTATCTGCCTCTGCACCAGCCCCCACCACGGTGTATACACACTCAGCTGAAACCTGGCCTCTTCTTTATACCCCCCAGTGCCAGGAGAGCCTGGTGAGGACAAGGCCTTGGCAAACATTTACTGAGTGAATGGATGAGTGAGTGGCTTCCCTGAGGCCCCTTAAACACTCAGAGAAGCCTGGGACTGAGTGGCCAGAAGAGGCCCGCTGGATGGGCCTGGGGTGAGGGACAGTGGGGAGTGGTGGCCTTGAAGCCTGACTCTTCAAAGATTGTGGGACTGGCACAGAGACCCACAGCACCCCTGAGGGGGTGGTGCTGCTCTCTTTCTGTCCTCGGCAGAGTCACCTTTGCCCTATCCCTCATCTCAGTTCACTGGGCTCCAGCACTGCGGCCTTTGTCTCCAAGGAGCAGGGGAGGGTTTGGTTGTACCCCAGATGCAAGGACCAATCCTGGATGCACTGATTTTGCAGAAGCTTTATTTATTGGTGGATTCAGGTTCAGCGTCACGACTCAGTTACTCCAGTACCATCAGCCACCACCACCCAGATGGCCTCAGCTCAGATGGCCCCGTACCCCACCCTAGAGACCCGAGGGTGCCTTTGATGGTCATGTTACAGTAACTGGCGGTTCAGTGGTCGGCTCCTCTAGTGGGTAATTCCATTCAAAGCCAATGCTCTTGATGCCGAGGAGTCCATATTGGCCATAGATGCCCACCAGCACCTGCCCCTCTTGGCTGGGGTAGGCAGAGAAGATCTGGCCATCGAGCTTCCCAAAATAGAAAGTGCGGTCCTTGCTGGTGTACAGGACCATACCCCGGAGGAAAGTTTGGAAGGCGACAAAGACTTTTGTGATGTATTCGCCTGGCTGCAGGGTGACTTCCTGGGTATTCCCACCTGAGGCGCCCTGTTTCACGTCCCAGGTGTCTCCAAGTTTCACCTGGACACTGGGGGAGAGGCAAAGCTTTGGACGCCCAGATCTGGGATGGCCCAGCACATCCCGGGTCCTCAGCGCCCCCACCCTCCTTCCCAGGATCCAGAGAGTCCAGCGCCATCAGAATTCGGGTCCCTGACACAAACTCACTGGTCACCAACCCTGGTTCTACCACTTTCAGGCCCTGTGATCTTGAGCTCATTACTCAGCCTCTTCGGACTTAGTTTCCCCATCTGCAAAGTGGATGTGATTTTTGGGAGGAGTCACTGAGGTCCAGGCGAGGAGAGCTCCGCGCAGTGCCTGGTCCACGTGACTGCAGAAGGCACCAGCTGCCGTCACTGTGGCCCACATATGAGCTGCCTCTGGCTGAGCCTGGACCTCCCCAGCCTTAGTCACTCTGAGCAGAGCAGCTCACAGACCGAGGGGCAGGTGACTTCCCACACTCACCAGCACTTCCCCGACGGGGCTTATCTGCATCCCTCCCTCACCCTGCTGCTCTCCTAGGACGCACCCCTCCGGCTCGCCATGCTCACACAGTCTCCTCTGCTGTTGGGCTTCTCTCCCCTCTCCCAGGACCCCAGAACTCCTAAGTGCAGGGCAAAAATCCATCCCAGACCTCCAGCAGAGACACCTCGATATGAAGGAAATGTTCCTGGATTTCTGCCTCTAACACTTCTGCTGACTCATGTTCAGTCAGTGGTCCACTCTGACCCTTACCTCCTGTCTTCTTTGACAGTAATCAGACAGACTTTTCCCTGACTTTCCTATCAGGCATGGGGACGGAGAGGTCATTTTTGGTTGAGTTGAGCTTGGGTTGAAGGGAGAAGGTAGGGAGGACGGTCTGACCTCTGCTCAAGCCATGAAGCATCGGTGGGAGCCAGGCATGCGTGGGAAAACTGGCTACAGGTGCCTACCGGCTGCCCCGAGTTCCTAAAACTGTGGGATGGGTGGGGACATGGCCTCACTCACCTTTTCACCAGGAGAAGACCCACAGACACCCGCAGCCCTGTAATTTCATGGTCGTAATCTTCAGTGGTGGTGAAATACTTGCCTCCTCCAGGGCCGTACATCTCTGCAGAAAAGAGAGCAAAAGGGAAGAAAATCCCCACGCAGTGAAATGGGGGCAACCTCTGCCAGAACAGGGGACCCCGCCCCTCCAGGCAGACAGGATGGTTCTGTGACCAGAGTTAGTCTGGGACAAGGGCCGGGTGAGGCCCTGGCTCTCCTGGAGGGAGGCAGGGGAGGTTAAGGGCAGACTCCACCGACTTACTCCCTGCCCAGGTGGGGCCCCCCAGGAGGGCAAGCGTGAGCAGCAGCAGCATGGCCTCTGGCCGGCGCATCCCAGGGCTCTGTGGGAAGAAGAGAGGCCTCCTGACTCCAAAGCAAGGACGAGTGTGGCCTCGCTGGGCCCCACCCATGGAGCCAAGCACCTTACCTCGCCTGTGACTGGGTGTCTGATTGTGTTGGGCACCCTTCACATCGCCTTTATACTCTCCTGGGCCCTCTGGGCCCCTATCCAGAAGGAAGGAGCAAGGGGCCACCAGGGGGACAGGAAGGAGCTGGCCGTGGGGCTCTTCCTGGGGGAAGGCCCAGGGCCGGCCTTGGGGAGGCTCCCGGACGTGTGGCATTTGCTGTCTTGGCTCTGCAGCCTACATAAACAGAGCTGGGGACAGTGACAGGCACTTTACGATCACCTCTGGGCTCTCTCAGTCAACACTGGTGCCGACCTGGATGGCAGAGTTGGGGAGAGGCTGGCTTATTGGCTTCCACCCGAGGGTAACAGGTCAAGGGTCCACAAAAGCTCCGTGGGGCCCACTGCCACCGTGGGCGACCTGGAGTCAGGGCCTCCTTCAGACTCAAGCAGCACCTGGTGCCTGGCAGGCTTCCTAGGACCCAGGCTGAGCTCGATGCGGGCCCCAAGAGAGCTTGAATGGACCACCCAGCCCTTTGTGTCCTGTGCCCTGTGCAACAGGTGCCCCAGGCACTGGCCCTCAAGGCACTGCCCTTGGAGGCTGCCTGGGTTTCTCCTCTGTGCTGCATCTGGGTAGAGCGGGTATGAGCCAGTGTTCAGGGGCTCAGAGATCATAGGAGGGAAGGACACCAAAGGTGCAGTCCTTGCCACGATGGGAGGCAGAGGGCCTGGGGAAGGCGACCCCCCAGGCTGGTGTTTGGAGATGTCTCATCCCAAGGACCCTGAAGGACCCAGGGCATTGGGAGTGAGCTGGAGTCTGCAGAAGAGGTGGGGTGTCGGATAAGGATCAGGGGAGAAGAGATAAAGGCTGTCAGATGCCCTGCAATCAGGGGACAGATTGCAGCTCAAACGCAGTTCCATGCGTGTCCTCAGGACACCTTTCGTGTGTGTTCCAGGGACTGAAGCTCTGCAGGGCCCGTGACCACTCGGAACAGCCACAGAGCCGTGATCACCAACACAGGACCCTGGAGCCAGAGGCGGGTCCATCCTGGCTTCCTTATGTAGCTGGGCTGGGATCTGCAGGCACTTGCTTCACCTCTCTGGGCCTCTGTTCTGTGTGGATAACAGTAGAACCTCCCCTTGACGGTGCTGTGAGGAGCTGAGATCCTGCCCCCGGGGCCAGTTTCCCTGACCCTTAGACTTTATGCCTTGGGGGAGACTGTACCACGTTAATTTTTGGAAAGAGCAAAAGCTGACAAATCATAGACGCGTCCACCTGGAGATGCCGAGAGCCCCGGTGGTGGATCCCTGGCTTTGGAAAACTTGGGTGGAGACAGTGGGGGACGCTCCCACTGCACACCCATCCCCCAGGGAAACAGGGTGGAAGACCAATGTGTCTGGACCCCACATGCTTCCCAGGCAGAGGGGTGTGGAGAAGGGCTTTGCGCATGCACAGAATGACTCTGGAAGTGCTGGCTCGCCAGGAACGGGGACGCTGGTCTCAACAGGATGAGGGTGGGCAGGGGCTGCGAGAGGCGCAGGACTTTAATGACTTGAACCAGGGCCTGCGCCAGGGGTGGGGATATACGGCCCAGCCAACCACCACCTGGGCACCTCTGCCCAGCCCATGAGCAAAGAATGTCTCCTTCATGTTAACATTCTTAGGAAACATTCTAAAGAACGATGTCTTGTGGTCCATGAAAATTATTTGAAATTCCCATGCCCCAGTTCATAAGTCAAGCATCATTGGCCCACAGCCGCCGTGCGCTCATTGGCATGTGGCCTGTGGCTGCCTTCATGCTTGCACAGAAGCTCACATGGCTGTGACAGAGACCTGCAGCCCCTGAACCTAAAATTCTACTATCTGGCCCTTCACACAAAATGTCCACCCACTCCTGGTCAATACCTATTCCCAAAGAACCACCATAGCCCTGTACCTGGTGCTGGATGGCACAGTCAGGAAGGGGGCTCCCCGTGACCCCCCAGCCCTGACGGGGCAGGAGCAGAGCAGCACATTAGCCTTGGCACCTGGCCCTTGTTCTGGCGCCTGTACCATCTCCCTGGAGAGGCTGATCAGGGCTGGGTTCCTACTGACTAGTGTTTCAAGGTGAGGCCCCAGTTGCACCTCTCTGCACCCCCTCAAGCGCTCCTCTGATTTCGAGGGAAGCAGACCCCAGGCTGGGGGAGGGTAAGAGGAGCCCCTCTCAGGAGGAACCTCCTTCAGGGAGGTGGAGGTGGAAGAGGCCAAGCCCTTGGCCAGCACAGCTCTTGGAGGCAGGAGCTCAGAGGTGGCACAAAGGGGCTGTGTTCTTGCCCCAGCCCAGCCTGAGGGCGCCTTTCCATGTTTTGCTGGCAGTTCAGAGGCCTTCTTTCTAACTCCAGGCTGACAGGGTTTGGTGCCCAGAAGGAGAGTCATCTGGGCCAGGACTCCAGAAGCACCAGCTGGGGTTGGGGGCACTAGGAGGCAGAGACAGTATACACTGGAGGGGAGGTTAAGATGGTACGAACATGGGGATCACACATGCTCATTCACACACGTGCACTTGAAGATGCATGCATACACATGCAGCCAGACACACACTGCCCAGACTCTCCTGCACGCGGGGGGCATGCACACACGACACCCCTCTTCACCTGCATGCCTGACCTGGGGAAGAAGCCCACCTGGTGGGAGGCACCCCTCTCCCACCCTCCATCTGCCCTGGCCCAAGTGCTGGCCCTGAGCCCGCGTACAGGGAGACTCAACACAGGCCCTTTGTCCCTTGGGATCAGGGCTCCCAAGAGAGGGATTTACTGAGCATTTATTTCCAGCCCTGGGCACACCCAGTCCTCATTCTGCCAGGAGAGGGGAACAATGAGGCCTTCTCCTGCCTGCAGAGGTGGCCCCGGGCCGGCTGGTCCTTGTGTGTCAGGAGTTGGGTTAGGGCCACAAGCCCCTGGCCTCCCTGCCCTCCAGGTGTGGGACTTGGGAAGACCCCTCTGTGGCTCTGCAGCCTGAGGCACAGCAGACAAGAGGGTCTCCATCTGCACCCACTCAGTGGGTGGGGCCTCCCTGTGGCCTGGGGGCCAGGCTGAGCCTCTGCAGGAAGCCCCCAGCCTCACTGGAAGCAGGAACATGAGTTCCTGGCTAGGATCTCCGGATAGGACTGGCCTCACCGAGACTCTGAGCAAAGTCAGGAGCTGTCTCCTCCCAGGGCCTTGGCGGCTCCCTGGGACTCAGGAACCAGAGGGAAGGTCCTGCTGCCTGGGGGAGGGGCAGGATCAGAAGCCCAGGGGCCTTTACCCCAACCCCAGCAGGTCAACACGGGCTATGCATGTGGACTTGCCCTTGAACGGCTGCTGCTGGGGAAGGAGGCCCTGAGGGAAGGGCGCAGCCTTGTGCTCCTGAAACCACAGCTCCCCCCGCATGCCTGTGGAACACTCACTGAGTTCCCTTTGGTGCCACATCTGCACTAAGCATTTTTTTTTTTTTTTTTCAGAGACAAAGTCTGTCTCTGTTGCCCAAGCTGGAGTGCACTGGCTCGATCTCGGCTCACTGTAACCTCCACCTCCCGGGTTCAAGCGATTCCCCTGCCTCTGCCTCCCAAGTAGCTGGGATTACAGGCACCCACCACTACGCCTGGCTAATTTTTTTTATTTTTAGTAGAGATGGGGTTTCATCATATTGGCCAGGCTGGTCTCGAACTCCTGACCTTGTGATCTGCCTGCCTCGGCCTCCCAAATTGCTGGGATTACAGGCGTGCGCTATCACACCTAGCCTCCGCTAAGCATTTTATCTGCACTTACCCCAGAGAAACGCAATACTTTTATTGGAAAACCAGGACACATAACCACACATTTTGCCTAATCTTTCACGTAATTCACCTTCCACTAGTATTGATGTTGGGCTCAGCTTTTGCACCTGCCCCGGTAGATTCCGTGATAAGTGACCTGAGCAGCCTGGCCCGGCGCCACACTCCGACCCTGTTCCTGACTGCACCTCACGAAGCCACTCCCAGCCTCGGTTTCTCTATGAGTAAACAGGCCCCTAGCACACCGCAGCGCCTGAGGCTGTTGGGAGGGAGGAGCGAGACAATGTTTGTGGCCGCCAGCCGTCTGCTGGGGAAACCAGTCCGTGTTATTGAGGTGATATGGTTTGGCTGTGTCCCTGCCCAAATCTCATCTTGAATTGTAGTTCCCATCATTCCTACATGTTGTGGGAGGGACCTGGTGAGAGGTAATTCAATCGTGGGCAGTGAGTTACCGCCATGCTGCTGTTCTCGTGATAGAGAGTGAATTCTCACAACATCTGCTGGTTTTATACAGAGATGTTCCCCGTTTTGCCCGGCACTTCTCCTTATTGCCACCATGTGAAGAAGGACGTGTTTGCTTCCCTTTCTGCCGTGATAGTAAGTTTCCTGAGGCCTCCCCAGCCATGCTGAACTGTGAGTCAATTAAACCTCTTTCCTTTATAAAATACCTACCCTCAGTTATGTCTTTATTAGCAGCGTGAGAATGGACTGATACATGAGGACCAGCCCGGACGAGGCCCTCGATGGTGTCAGACACTAGAACAGCCTCACACTGGTTTGAGTCAGTTGCTCGTCTCCTTCCCAGAAGTGGTTGAGCCCTCCCTGGGAGGCTGCAGAGGGAGTAGCCCTGTGGGTGCGTCACTGGTCCGGGAGGCCAGTTCCTGACTGCGGCCCCCACTGTGAGCCATGTGGAGGGCCTGGAATTTTTGAGACTCGAGGATGGACGGTCCAGACGGACCAAGATGGCGGAAGCTGAGGATGGGCCCTGAGGAGCTGTCCTCCAAGGATGAAGCCAACAGACATTTCCCCTACATTTACCACCCAAATTCAGACATATTGGAGAGTAAAAGGTGACAGTGACACCCATGCACTCCCTGCCTCTCCTGTCCTCAGCATTCTCCTGTGTGGGTGTCACTGCATTTGTCTATGTCCTGGACCCTCCGTCCACCCATCGCTTCATCTTCTTTCCTCAGACATATCAGGTGCTGACCTCAGTTCACTTCCCCTCAGTCACTTCTGCATGCGTGTCATTAACCAGACTGTTGTGGGTTTGGACTTTTCCCAATTTGAAGCACAGTCTGCATACAACGAAATCACAAATCTGGAAGTGTATATTCACATGTTTAAAAAATATTTATGAATTCCCGGACCACTTGGCTGGGCTGCAGCATCTGGCAGGAGGCCTGGGGCTAACTGCTCACTTGAGACCAGCCTGCAGAACAAAGTGAAACCTTTTATCTACAGTAAATAATTTTAAACAGCTTAGCTGGGTGTGGTAGTGTGGGCCTGTAGACCCAGCTACACTCAGAAGACTGAGGTGGAAGGAGCCCAGGACTTCAAAGTTGCAGTGAGCTAGAATCACACCACTACACTGGCTCCAGTCTGGGTGCCAAAGCGAGACCCTATCTCTTTAAAAAAAGAAAACAAAAAAAACTATGCCAGGCACGGTGGTTCACGCCTGTAATCCCAGCACTTTGGGAGGCTGAGGCGGGTGGATCGAGAGGTCAGGAGTTTGAGACTAGCCTGGCCAATATGGTGAAACCCTGTCTCTACTAAAAATTACAAAAGTAGTTGAGCATGGTGGCACTCCCAGCTACTCAGGAGGCTGAAGCAGGATTATTGCTTGAACCAGGGAGGTGGAACTTGCAGTGAGCCGAATGGCGCCATTGCACCCCAGCCTGGGTAACAGAGTAAGACTCTGTCTCAAAAAAAAAAAAAAAAAAGAAAAAAGAAAAAAAAAGGATGATGGGAAAACTGGCTGAAAGCTGTTGTAGCCATTGAGTAGCATTTCAGGACTGGGTTGAAATACAGCAGAAGACAAGGCCAACTCTATAAAAGGAACCACTAGTACAATTTGAACAAAAAGTTGTGTTAGCGATATCGCCAAAGTTACCCACTAGGTGGAGTAAAGCATGTTTTTAGGTCCAGTTCTGTTAAGTTACCCAAAGCAGTTACTGGCTGTAAATCTTTAATTACAGATTATCCTGTCAAGGGAGAAAGGTGGGCCTTAAGAGAGGTAAGTGGACCACCATGATATGGAATCTCATTTTGATGGTCTTGGGAAAAGCTGCAGTATGAAGCCGGCAATTTTGCAGTTAAAGTGTCTCTGGTTATGGCCTTGGATGGTTGGTGAACTCTCAGTGTGGTCCACACATCAGGCACAATACTTGTCCCTTGATATTTATGTTAAGTTGTTTAGTTTTAGCTCACAGGGCATTTATGAAAGAACAACTTACAGTTTTAATAATTCCATAGGAGAAAACTGGATTGGAGGAACTTAGAATTTAGGGTCTGATATAGTCTACAGGTAGATGATAAAACTGGTCTATAAACAATTTAAATATGACATTCCAAAGCCTTTGTAATGTTACAGGATCTCTGGAGTATTGTTTTTCTGGCTGGAAACCTGTGGCTGCTGGCACCTTGGCCCAAGTTTTGCTCGGGCCTGCTGGGCTCATTTCACCCACTCAGCCTGGCAGGCTGTGCTCGGCTCACACTACCGGCCTGGATCCTGTGCCTCCAAGTGAGACTGCGAGCCGCCTGTGGAATGGCGAGGGGTGTGTGAGTGAGCATGGGCCCCAGCCACTGTGCAGTCATACATGCCAGCTGCTGCCACGGGGCAGGCAGCTCCAGGTCCCGGCATGGGCGCCACCTCTCTGCGAGGCTGCAGCTGGACCGGGTGCACCACAAGCAGCTTGGCTGGCACCAGGAAATCTGGTGGCACCTGGAAGCTTGGAGATGCCAGGAACCACAGAGCCCCAAAGAGGGAGACACAGACCTGGCTCAGGGAGCTCCCAGGTCTGGGCTCCCCTGAAGCACTGCAGCTTTTCTCTCCTTCTCTTCACCGGAAATGTGGCGAGCAAGGGCCATGTTCAGCCCTGTTTGTGTTACAGCTCCTTTATCTTTGCCATTTCATGGGTCCCGAGTTCTTGTCCTGTGACCAGGAAGAACGAGGTATGCAGACAAGTGGAGGGTGAGCAAGGCAAAGAGGAGCTTTACTGAGTGATAGAACCAAATTTTGGGTAAAGCAGTTAGAGTCAGTTACTACTATACTGGTTGGACAAAGAATAGTTGTTAACTGCGAAGATGTGACAAAATTATGTGAGGCTTAGAATGTAAGAGCTATTCTTTAAATGTCTGTGCAGGATTCTCTTGGTCTCAATTTCTCACCCTTGAAGGTAGAGTGTTACCTTTCCTCCTGGTGTAGGGAGAGTCTTTTACATGGACTTTTCATCCTTTGCTTTAAAGAAACAGCACAAAGGTCAAAATGATTTTTTTGAAAACTGCTGTTTTCAAGTGTCTTTACTTAAATAGTCAATATGCCAGAATACTGAGGAGTTTGGAGAAAAGAGAATTTAGTTTAGAGAGGGATAAAGAAGAGGTGTAGAAATGGGACAGGAAGGCTGCAGACAGGAAAGAATCTCAGCTCGCTTTGAGCCAGTGTCTTGTGGAGAGGCAATTTTGAATCAGAATGCGCTTAGAACTTCAAGAAACACATGAAGTATGCCACTCATTCAGATTGCTTAATTTTAGGCTCACGGTCTCATAATTTAGCCCTAAAAGACAATTTTGGGGGAACTCAAAAGACCCCCAGTGAAGCGGTGTCATTGTCTGGGGTAAATACCTGAGGTTTGTTGCCTCATGCCAAGGAAATCAAGGACACAGACACATGTGGAGTGAGATTAACAATGGAGGTTTAGTAGAAGAAAGAAAGAGAAAGGAGAACAGTTCTGTCTCCAGTGAAGGAGAGGGGTTCCTGAGTGGGACTTCTTGCCCCTGGCAGAGTGCACAGGGTTTTATAGACAGGCTTGAGGAGGCGGTGACTGATTTACATAGGGCCCAAAGATTGGCTGGACCAGGTGTGACGTTTACATAGCGTGCGGGGAAGCTGGTCACCGCACCCTAATCTCTTATTATGCAAATAAGGTCTCTACTTGGCCAGCGCCACGTTGCCTGCTCCTTACTGTGCATGTAGTTGACAATGAAAGAGGAAGATGGAGCCACCATGCTGGACGTGCCTAGTCCCCAGTTAGCCTTTTCCTACGACACAGCTGCTAGCATTCACCCATGCAAGCTTCTAGCTTGCTTGTCTATATCTGCAGCTCAATTTTACAAGCTGCTCTTTGTTAGAAAAGAAAATAACTTGGGGGCTGCGTTTCATTAGAAAGAAAACCTGGGGCTCACGCCTATAATCTCAGCACTTTGGGAGGCCAAGGGGGTCAGATCACCTGAGGTTGGGAGTTCCAGACCAGCCTGAACAACATGGAGAAACCCCGTCTCTACTAAAAATACAAAATTAGCCGGGCGTGGTGGCTCATGCCTATAATCCCAGCTACTCAGGAGGCTGAGGCAGAAGAATTCCATGAACTTGGGAGGTGGAGGTTGCAGTGAATCGAGATCTCACGACTGCACTCCAGCCTGGACAAGAGCAAAATTCCATCTCAAAAAAAAAAAAAAGAAAGAGAGAAAGAAAGAAGAAAACCATACCAAGAACTTCTTTCCCCTCGCTATCTGCCTAAATAATCTCTTCTTAACTCCTATATCACCAGGAGGGCCATAAAGGATCTGAAGTAGCTTAGGTGTACTCTGTCCCTTGATTTGAAAGCACCTCCAGCCTCAGTCACTGAGCCACAGCCAAGGACTTAGCAGCCCCCGCTTCAAATCCTCTCACTCCCCCACACTCTGTCCCCCTCACACTGCTTTCTCCTGCCATGCCACTGCCTTCCACAGGCCATTTCCACCGAGGAAAAGGAATCATCTTGTACGTCCACTATCTAGATTCTCCACTCTTTCCACCCCTTTGTTGATGTAAGTAAGAGTAATGACCTGCTCCCTGCAGGCACTGAGGATTAGATCCATGCAAGAATTCAGCAGAGAAACGACATGAATACCCTTAGTCCTGTCTAAGGGATCACTAACGATTACAATAAAAAGCAACTAGTAAAGGCATTTAAGAGGAAATTTGCCTGCAATGGGACAGTAACTGAGCATCCAGAATACAGAGAAGCCATTCAGCTACAGGATGACCAGTGCAAGAACATATGCCAGTGCCTTGTAGAGGTAAGACTGGCTAAGGACGATCGACTGATGGTTCAAGGGTTTTAACTACTTGTGGCTCACTGAAACTTAAGTGAGGATTTCCTCGTAATGAGTAGAATTTCCCTTTTTTCCCTTGTTACAAGTTTAAAAACCTCACAGTTTGTCTAATGTAACCATTTGGGGTCTGCTTTTAACTTGGACTAGTGTAATTCCTTCATGCAATAAACTGAAAAAATAAAAATAAAAAAATAAAAACATAGCTAAGGGAGGACTATGATTTTCAAACATGGAGCCAGCTGGAGTCCCACAAGGGGAAGCATTATTGCCTACTCCCTGGGTGCCCAGAGCCTCACCTCAGGGCTGCGCCAGCTCTGGGGCATCCTATGCCCCAGGACTACTCTCAACATGGTGGGGGGCGTGATCAAGAGAGAAACGCCCACCCTGGTGTCCTTGTCCTCAGTGGGCCAATGCTGAGGCCCCCACAGGATTGCACCCCAGTTGCCTAGAATGGCACCCTCTGTGTTTATGCAAGCTCATCAGCGTTCCCTCCCTCCCTGCCTCAGTTTCCCCACTTCCTGCAATCACCTCCCAGATAAACTACCTGCACCCATGTCCTGGTCCTAGGTCAGCCTTGGGGGAACCATGGTAAGATCAGGATGTCTGGCGTTTCTGTGCTGGATCCTTAGGGGGTGAGGGATGTCAGGATCATTTCCTCCAATGCACACACCCCCACTCCAGGCTTCTCAGCTCCTGGCACCCTGGAACTACTCCTGTTCCATTGCGGGGCATGATATGAGTCTAATTTCAGCTACTCAGGAGGGTGAGGCAGGAGGATCGAGATCAGCCTAGGAGTTCAAGACCAGCCTGAACAACACACAATTCTCTTTCTGATCAAAACAGAACAGATGTGGGTGTGAGCCAGGGGCACAGACAGGCCGGCTGCACAAGAGAGAATGAGCTGTCCATGAAGCCACCGCATTTGAGGAATACTCTGCAAGGCATCAACTGGAATGTATTTATTACCAAACAAGACAGAAGAGAACCAGGGCCTGACTTAGCAGTGGCCCCAGCCTGCACGGGCTTGGGTAGGCTCAGGCTGGCCCCAGGAGTGGGAGAGCCCAGAGAAGAGGGAGAAAGAGCAGCGGCCAGGAGGGGTCTGGCTGGGACATGCCACTCTGGGCCATCAGCTTCTGGATCCACCCGAAGTGGTAGCTGACATTGGTGTAGACACCGGGCCGATTGGGCCGACCACAGCCCACTCCCCAGCTCACGACTCCAATCTGATACCACAGTCCATTCTTGTTACAGGCCAAGGGTCCACCTGAGTCACCCTGGGGAGCAGCGGGACTGAGATCAGCCTGGGGCGGAGTGAGTGGGGCAGGGGAGAAGCCGAGAGCAGGAAGGGCTGTGGGGCTGGGTAGACTGGGTGCACATCCTTCTCCTCCCCCTGGCAGCGGCCAAGCCTCCATTTCTGCATCTGCAGAGTGGGGCAACAGTGTCCACCTCCTGGGGTTGGCATGAGGGTCAAATAAGGCACAGGGACACAGGTTGCTTTCCTGGGCTGGGAGTGGTGGCAGGGACACTCACAAAGCAGGAATCCTTCTCGCCTTGGGCATCGCCAGCACAAACCATGTCTCCAAAGATGTCCGTGCGGAAACTGTACTTGAAGAAGAGGTAGTTGCACATAGAGTTGTTTATGATGGCGACCTGAACTTCCTGGAGGGTATAGGGAGATGGCAGTGCTGTGGGGACGATAGAGGGAAAGAGAGAGACACCAACCTGAGGCCCCTCTAGGGAGGGATGGCATAGGCTGTGGGAGTGGGGGTCCTAGGGCACCCACTGTGCCTGGCAGGTTCATCTCCATTACCCCCAGCTCCAGCCCAGACCCCAGCACAGCAGAGGCCCTCAGCAGCATCACGAAGGCCCCAGCGAGAGACAGGCTGTCAGAGCTCCCCCAGCCTCACTTTCCCTATCTGTAGAATGGCAACAATGGCCCTGCCTGCGCCCACGGAGAGATTCCTTAGCAAAAAGGAACAGGGGGAGGGGCAAAGGCAGCTGACATGGTGTTAAGATGAGCACCCAAAGCCAGACCTGGGGGAGAGGCAGCCTGGCTGCAGCCCTGGCCTCAGTAGCAGCTGGGCGCTTTCAGGGCCTGGGCACAAGCTTGTTGCGGCGCTCTTAGGGCCCCCCCCAGTACCCCTGGGAGGCAGCAGTCATCAGGACCCACTCCCAGATAAGGAGAGTCAGGGGGATATCACCCCACTGACCCCCGGCAAGGCACTGGGGAAGTCTCAGAGCCTGACAGGAACCCACACCTGTCCAATTCCTGCCTCAGAGTCCCAGCCAGCACCTTGTACTGCACAGGATGACAAAAGACAACAAGGCCCAACCTGCAGGCAGCGCTTCCCATCAGCGGGGTCTCTCCTAAGCCCTTGGGACTAACAACCTGGGAACTAGCCTATGATGTGGAACCATCATTACCCTGTTTCACAGGGGAGGAAACTGAGGCACCGTGAGGTGAACGGCTTTGCCCAAGGCCTCCCAGTCAGCGCAGGGCAGAGCAAAGGTGCATACCAGGCAGGGGGCTCCAGAAGTGCCTGCCCCCTGCCTCCCCTACACTGTGAGTTGAGGCGCAGCCTGGGGTTGGTGTGACCTGTCCACTCTGGGCTGGGGAGAGAGGGTGGCAGAGGCAGCCTGGCGTGCCCCCGGCTCACACCCACTCATCTTTGCAGCAGGGGCCCTTCTCAGGGAAGGGAAAGGATCCCTCCTCTAGAGGGAGGCGGCTCCAGTGCTGAGTTTCCCATTCCCGCTTCCAACTGCCGGGGTGTGACCTGGGGACATCCCTTACCCTCTCTAAGGCAAGGGGCCCTGACTTCTCCATTTATCAGTTCTTGGCAATTTCCATAACCCTCTCAGTTTTCTCATCTGTAAAATGGGTATAAAAACGTTACCAACTTCATTCTTAGGTGAGCTCCAGGAGGAGGAGAGGCCGCGCCTGCCTCACTGCTGGGTCCCCATGCCTAGAACAGTGCCAGGCACACTGCGTGTGCTCAAGGAACCACATTTGTTATTGTTACTACTGTTGTGGGATGATGCAGGGACAGGCCAGACAGGGGAGCAGAGGGAAGGGGATTCCTAATACAGGGAACACACCCAGTCAGGGGCTGCCAGCCCCAGGGCTCCTCCAGATGGTGGGCCCACTTCTTTCAGGGCATGTGTGTTGGGGGACATGCAGGTGCCAGGGCAGGCCCACCAGAGAATCCCCAGAGGGGTTTCCGTGGGAGCTGCGGTTGAGCATGGCTTGAAAACTTATGGGGAGAGGAATGGGCTCAGTGCTGCAGGAGAATCGGCCAGAGCTAGGGTGGGTGCAAGAGGCTTGGAGAGGCAGCCCGGGAGCCTGATGCCTGGGGCATTGGTGAGCACCGGGGGAGGTGGAAAGATGCAGCAATAAATTCAAGTCTGACGTTTATGTCGCCAAGTCCTCCAGAACCCCTCCACCACCCCACCACCCACAGGCCTGTACCAAGCTGGCCTCCCTCTCACACTCTCCTTCTGGCCCCCACAGCCCCTGGAAGGGAGAGACTGGGTGTTTGGTCCCTGCCCTGGCAGGTGAGGAGAGACTGCGCACAAGAGGGGCGTAGCCTGCACTCCCAGACCAAGCAAGGGGCTATTGTGCCTGTGTGGGGGAACAGGTGAACAAAGACAGTTCCTCCCTGACCTGCCTGTCCCCAGCCTCACCCTCATCCTCTTTGATGTTCCCCCAGCCGGTCACCCAGCAGTCTGTCCGGTTCTGAAACTCAAATGTGGAAGCCTGGAGACAGATGGGCTGGATGTGGTTAGTGTAGGTGACAGGTGCAGACAGCTTCACCAAGGCAATGTCATAGGGTGAATTCCCCAGGTAGCGAGGGCTCAGATAGATATTCGACACGAAGTAACGGGTGTAGTAGGCCTGCAGGCTCCAGAAGGATGGCATGGAAGTCAGCTGGCCAAACTGGATCGTCCACCCAGAGGGATCACTAAGGTCACTCTCTCTGGTAGAAGAGAAGAGAGCAATCAGGGGCCCTGGACGAAGGGCTGGCTGCCTGAGCACAACTGGGGCCCAGTCCAGGAGGGGAGACTGTGGCATTGCTACTACTTGCTAACACCCAGGGTCCCCTGTAGAAATGAAAGAGCCCAGAGAGATCACAACCAAAGTCCTAGGACCTGCTCCTGGAGCAGGAGGGTGGGGTTTTGTCATCTCCCAGAGCTGTCCCAAGGACCCTTGCATTAAGCCAAGGCCTCCAGGGGCACCCCCATGCAGCCCAAGGAGGAATGGGCAGATGCACCACGGCAGTGTGGGCTTGGCAGGATGGAGTCCACATAGCGTCCCGGGTGTGCTCGCCTTGGTTCAGTGCTCCACACTGTACTGCACGTCCACCAGGAGGGGGAATGAGGGTGGGATGGATGGTGGTGAGCTTTGGGTTAAAAGAAAAAGGGAGAGAATACCCAAAAGTGCGTGGAAATGTTCTGGAAGAACATTCTGGAAGAACCTGAACAGAGTTCCCTCCCGGAGACCCAAAAGGAACTGGAATGGGTGTAACCGGCTGCAGCAGAGCCTGGGGCTCAGTAGAACACCAGGCGGCATCCACGCACCACCTTCACGCCCAAGTGTGGCATCAGACCATAGGTAAAGTTAGGTGGCACTCCCTGCAGCCCTGCTCCTGCCCGTCCCCACACCCCTCAGTTCGCACCCCACTCACTCTTCAAAGCAGTGCGCCGCAGTGAGCGCCCAGCGGTGGCTGAGCAGACTCGCTCCGCACACGTGGGAATCCCACAGGCGCAGGCTCCCCTGCCATGGCCAACGCCCGAGTTCAGCGTCCAGTCCACCCACGATGCGCGTCGTGATGACCCGTTGGCCGCATGGTCCTCGGATGGTCAGAGGAACTGCTGAGCCGCGGGAGGCAGCCCCCCAAGCCCGACCTCTCCCTTTCTCCCATTCAACCCAGCCAGGAAACCACGCTTTTACCCACCCAGTGTCCCCTCGCGTGTGTAGAGTAGGAAGTAGGTGACACTGGAGACCCTCCCACGTGCTCTGCAGGGCCTGCCCATCCCCCTCCAGCGCCCATTGGTTACTTTCCACACCAACAGAGTTCTCGATCCCGGGGGCGAGGCCGAGAGAGCAGTAGAGGCCCCCCTTCCCCTCCCCCCGCCCCCGTGCACCTCAGCCCAACGGCCCCGGCGGGCATCACGCATCCTGAGCGCCCTACCTGACGACAGATCCACCTCATCTGACTCTGCAGGAGACAAGAAGTGAGCTCCCCGCGGCCTCCACCTCCCGTCCTCCCCATCGCCCCCCCTCCCCGTCCCGCCAGCAGCGCCCCGAGCTCACCCGGCTTCCCGAGTCCCGACAGCGCCAGCAGCAGCGCCAGCAGCAGCGCCCCGCGCGCGCCCATGGCCTCCTCTCCAGCGGCCTGGCGCCTCCTCTGCCTCCCCTCGCGCCGGGCCGGGGGCGCCCCCTGGGGGCGGGGCGGGGTGGGAGCTCTGCCCTCTACTCCCAGCTTCACACTCCTGGGCCCAAGGGCTGTTTGGGGACTCTCAGCCCTGATAGCGCCCTGGCTTTCAGCTCCTAGGGCGGATCTTCAACCACACTCCTTGATGTGGCCCAGACCCGGTGGACCCCACAGTCCCTTTCTTGTCTGCAGCCCAGGGGTCCTGGCTGCCCGCTTGGTGCCCGGTGTCCTTCACCTACCACCTCCTCCAGCACCAAGGGCCTGGCCGTGAGCCAGGAGTCCCCTTAAAGCCTGGGGGCCCCTGAGGGCCAGGTGGGGCCTAGCAGCATGGCTGGTCCTTCATGAGACTTTCTTTTTTTTTTTCCTTTTTTTTTTTTTGAGACGGAGTCTCCCTCTGTCGCCCAGACTGGAGTGCAGTGGCCGGATCTCGGCTCACTGCAAGCTCCGCCTCCTGGGTTTACGCCATTCTCCTGCCTCAGCCTCCCGAGTAGCTGGGACTACAGGCGCCCGCCACCATGCCCAGCTAGTTTTTTTGTATTTTTTAGTAGAGATGGGGTTTCACTGTGTTAGCCAGGATAGTCTCGATCTCCTGACCTCGTGATCCGCCCGTCTCGGCCTCCCAAAGTGCTAGGATTACAGGCTTGAGCCACCGCGCCCGGCCCATGAGACTTTCTTGGGAAAACAGTGCTCTTGGGCCGGTTCCACCCAGAATGGGGATCCTGCCAAGTCTCTACCCAGGCCGTACCCACTGCGGGCTCCCACTGGGCTTTCTTCACTCCTCTGAAACAAATTTTTTTGTTGTTGTTGAGATGGAATTTCGCTGTTGTCGCCCAGGCTGGAATGCATTGGTGTGATCCTAGCTCACTGCAACCTCCACCTCCCAGGTTCAAGCGATTCTCCTGCCTCAGCCTCCCAAGTAGCTAGGGTTACAGACACGCACCAGCACACCTGGCTCATTTTTGTATTTTTAGTAGAGACGGGGTTTCGCCATGTTAACCAGGCTGGTTTCCAACTCCTGATCTCAGGTGATCCACCCCCTCCGCCTCTCAAAGTGCTGGGATTACAGGCATGAGCCACCGCACCCGGCTGCAATTCCACTTCCGAGTATACACCCAAAAGAACTGAAAGGAAGGTCTTCAAGATATATTGGTTTTTGTTTTTTGGGGGGTTTAGTTTTGGGGGTTTGTTTTTTGAGATGGTGTCTTGCTCTGTTGCTCGGGCTAGAGTGCAGTGGCGGGATCTTGGCTCACTGCAACTTCTGCCTCCTGGATCCAAGTGATTCTCCTGTCTCAGCCTCCAGAGTAGCTGGGATTAGAGGCACCCACCACCATGCTCAGCTAATTTTTGTATTTTTAGTAGAGATGAGGTTTCGCCGTGTTGGCCAGGCTAGTCTTGAACTTCTGACCTCAGGTGATCTGCCCTCCGCAGCCTCCCAAAGTGCCAGGGTGAAGGTGTGAGCCACCATGCCCGGCCTTCAAGAGATATTTGTATACCCATGTTCATAGCAGGATTATTCACAGTAGCTGACATGAAAGCAACCCGAGAATCCATTGACCAATGAACGGATCAGTGAAAATGGGAATGTACAATTACATGCCACATAATGAGGTTGTGCTCAGTGAATGACCACACAGGTACACGACAGTGGTTCCATAAGATTATAATACCATATTTCGATTGTACTTTTCTATGTTTAGATACACAAATACATATTATTGTGTTAGAGTTGCCTACAGTGTTTAGTATGGTAACAAGCTCTGTAGCTTTGTAGTCTAAGAGCAATAGGCTAGACCGCCTACCCTGGGTGTAGCAGGCTATGCCACATAGGTATGTGGAAATGCACTCTGTGATGTTCCTGTAATGTTGACATCACCTAGCCACGCTTTTCTCAGAAGGTATACTTGTTGTTAAGTAATGGATGACTTTCTGCTGAACTAGACATTTAAAATGATTAAAGTGGGCCGGGCGCTGTGGCTCTCACCTGTAATCCCAGCACTTTGGGAGGCCGAGACAGGCAGATCACAAGCTCAGGAGTTGGAGACCAGCCTGGCCAATATGGTGAAACCCCATCTCTACTAAAAATACAAAAATTAGCTGGTGGTGCTGGTGGATGCTGTAATCCCAGCTACTTGGGAGGCTGAGGCAGGAGAATCTCTTGAACCTGGGAGGTGGAGGCTGCAGTGAGCCGAGATAGCGTCACTGCACTCCAGCGTGGGTGACAGAGCGAGACTCGGTCTCAAAAAATTAAAAAATAAAATGGTTAAAGTGGTTTCATGTTATGTGTATTTTATCGCAATAAAAAATAATGTTTTAAAACCTGTGAATAGGCCGGGCGTGGTGGCCCACACCTACAATTCCCACCAGTTTGGGAGGCCGAGGAGGGTGGGCCCCTTGAGGTCAGGAGTTCGAAACCAGCCTGCCCAACATGGTGAAACCCCGTCTCTACTAAAAACACAAGAATTAGCTGGGTATGGTGACTGGTGCCTGTAATTCCAGCTACTCAGGAGGCTAAGGCAGGAGAATCGCTTGAACCAGGAGGTGGAGCTTGCAGAGAGCCAAGATTACACCACTGCACTCCAGCCTGGGCGACAGAGAGTTCATCTCAAAATAAATAAATAAATAAATAATAAAACCTGTGAATATACACTTCCAAATTTGTGATTTCATTGTATGCAAATTACGCTTCAAAATGAGAAAAGCCCAACCCTACGACAGTCTGGTTAATGACACGCATGCAGAAGTGTCTGAGGGGAGGTGAACTGAGGTCAGCACCTGATATGTCTGAGGAAAGAAGATGAAGCGATGGGTGGACGGAGGGTCCGGGACATGGGTAAATGTAGTGACATCCACACAGGAGAATGCTGAGGACAGGAGAGGCAGGGAGTGCATGGGTGTCACTGTCACCTTTTACTCTCCAATATGTCTGAATTTGGGTGGTAAATGTAGCGGAAATGTCTGTTGGCTTTGTCCTTAGAGGACAGCTCCTCAGGGCCCATCCTCAGCTTCCGCCATCTTGGTCCGTCTGGACCGTCCATCCTCGAGTCTCAAAAATTCCAGGCCCTCCACATGGCTCACGGTGGGGGCCGCAGTCAGGAACTGGCCTCCCGGACCAGTGACGCACCCACAGGGCTACTCCCTCTGCAGCCTCCCAGGGAGGGCTCAACCACGCCTGGGAAGGAGACGAGCAACTGACTCAAACCAGTGTGAGGCTGTTCTAGTGTCTGACACCATCGAGGGCCTCATCCGGGCTGGTCCTCATGTATCAGTCCATTCTCACGCTGCTAATAAAGACATAACTGAGGGTAGGTATTTTATAAAGGAAAGAGGTTTAATTGACTCACAGTTCAGCATGGCTGGGGAGGCCTCAGGAAACTTACTATCACGGCAGAAAGGGAAGCAAACACGTCCTTCTTCACATGGTGGCAGTAAGGAGAAGTGCCGGGCAAAACGGGGAACATCTCTGTATAAAACCCAGCAGATGTTGTGAGAATTCACTCTCTATCACGAGAACAGCAGCATGGCGGTAACTCACTGCCCACGATTGAATTACCTCTCACCAGGTCCCTCCCACAACATGTAGGAATGATGGGAACTACAATTCAAGATGAGATTTGGGCAGGGACACAGCCAAACCATATCACCTCAATAACACGGACTGGTTTCCCCAGCAGATGGCCGGCGGCCACAAACATTGTCTCGCTCCTCCCTCCCAACAGCCTCAGGCGCTGGGGTGTGCTGGGGCCTGTTTATTGACAGAGAAAACGAGGCTGAGAGTGGCTGCGTGAGGTGCAGTCAGCAACAGGGTCGGAGTGTAGCGCCAGGCCAGGCTGCTCAGGTCACTTATCACGGAATCTACTGGGGCAGGTGCGAAGGCTGAGCCGGACATCCTTCCTCCATTCACAGGACAGGGCCCGAGCAAGTCAGCTGGAGCACAGCCACAGAGGTGGACAGGGTGGGCCCCTGTGGGGCACTTTCTGGCCCCCAGGAGGGGAGGTCAGGGGAGTGGGGCGAGCCCCAGGTTCTAAGCACGTGCCTGCCTCAGGAGAGATTCAGGGGGATGCTAACCAGGTGCTATGGGCTGTCTTTGTCCCCGAAAGTTCATATGTGGAAGCTCTAAGCTCTAAGCATATGTGTCAGAGGTAGGACCTTTGAAGGTGATGAGGTTGAGATGAGGCCATGAGCACAGGACCCCCAGCGATGGGTTAGGGCCCTTATAAGAAAAGGAGACCAGGACTCTCTTCTTCACCCCTCCCCAAAGAGGACACGGTGAGAAGATGGGGGTCTGCACGCCAGAAAGGAACCCTCACCAGCAGCTGCATCGCTCAGCACTTTGATCCTGGACTTCCAGCCTCCAGAACTGTGAGAAACAAACGTCTATTGTCTACCAGCCCCCTACAGCGTGGGATTTGTGTTACAGCAGCCTGAGCTGACCCAGACGCCAAGGAGCAACACACGCACCAGGGCAGGCTGCAGAAACCAGAACCCGGGAATCCCGCCTCCATCGACTTGAAACTTGGGAATAGTGCATTCTATTTTCAACACTAGTGGAAGGCGAATTATATGAAAGATTAGGCAAAATGTGTGGTTATGTGTCCTGGTTTTCCAATAAAAATATTGAGTTTCTCTGGGGAAAGTGCAGATAAAACGCTTAGCACAGAGTGTGGCACCAACAGGAACTCAGTGAGGGCGCAGGCGGGCGTGCGGGAGCTTCGGGTTTCAGGAGCGCAAGGCTGCAGTGCCTTCCCTCAGGGCCTCCTTCTCCAGCAGCAGCCGCTCAAGGACAAGTCACAGGCACAGCCCGGTGTTGCCCTGCTGGGGTTGGGGCAAAGACCCCTGGGCTTCTGATGCTGCCCCTCCCCCAGCCAGCAGGACCTTCCCTCTGGTTCCTGAGCCCCAGGGATCCGCTGAGGCCCTAGGAGGTGTCAGCTCCTGGTTTTGCCCAGGGTCTTAGTCAGATCAGTCCTACCCGGAGATCTGAGCCAGGGACTCAGGTTCTTGCCTCCGGTGAGGCTGGGGGCTTCCCGCAGAGGCTCAGCCTGGCCCAGGGGCTGCAGGGAGGTCCTGGCTGCTGCATGGGTTGCAGATGGAGACCCTCTTGTCTGCTGTGCCTCAGGCTGCAGAGCCACAGAGGGGTCTTCCCAAGTCCCACACCTGAAGGGCAGGGAGGCCAGGGGCTTGTGGCCCTAACCCAACTCCTGACACACAAGGGCCAGCCGGCCCGAGGCCACCTCTGCAGGCAGGAGAAGGCCTCATTGTTCCCCTCTCCTGGCAGAATGAGGACTGGGTGTGCCCAGGGCAGGAAATAAATGCTCAGTAAATCCCTCTCTTGGGAGCCCTGATCCCAAGGGACAAAGGGCCTGTGTTGAGTCTCCCTGTACGCGGGCTCAGGGCCAGCACTTGGGCCAGGGCAGATGGAGAGTGGGAGAGGGGTGCCTCCCACCAGGTGGGCTTCTTTCCCAGGTCAGGCATGCAGGTGAAGAGGGGTGTCGTGTGTGCATGTCCCCCGCGTGCAGGAGAGTCTGGGTGGGCGTGTGTGTCTGGGTGCACATGTGTGAACGAGCATGTGTGATGCCTGTGTTCGCGCCATCTGAACATCCCCTCCAGTGTGCACTGTCTCTTCCACCAAGTCCCCACAACCCCAGCTGGTGCTTCTGGAGTCCTGGCCCAGACGACTCTCCTTCTGGGCGCCAAACCCTGTCAGCCTGGAGTTAGAAAGAAGGCCTCTGAACTGCCAGCAAAACATGGAAAGGCAGGTCGGGCATGGTGGCTCATGCCTATAATCCCAGCACTTTGGGAGGCCAAGGTGGGTGGATCATAAGTTCAGGAGTTCGAGACCAGCCTGGCCAACATAGTGAAACCCTGTCTCTACTAAAAATACAAAAAAATAGCTGGGCATGGTGGTGGGCGCCTGTAATTCCAGCTACTCTGGAGGCTGAGGCAGGAGAATCATTTGAACCCGGGAGGCAGAGGTTGCGGTGAGCCGAGATCACACCCTTGCACTCCAGCCTGGGCCACAGGGCGAGAGTCTGTCTCAAACAAAACAAAACCAACCATGAAAAGGCGCCCTCAGGCTGGGCTAGGGTGAGAACACAGCCCGCTTTGTGCCACCTCCAAACTCCTCCCTCTGAGAGCTGTGCTGGCCAACGGCTTGGCCGCTTCCACCTCCACCTCCCTGAAGGAGGCTCCTCCTGAGACGGGCTCAGCTGCCCACTGCCCGTGCCTGGCCCTTACTGCCCCTGAAAGTCAGAGGAGTGCTGGACAGGTGGTGCAGAGGGGTGGGAGCAGAGGGGTGGTGCAGAGGGGTGGAGCAGAGGGGTGGGAGCAGAGGGGTGGTGCAGAGGGGTGGGAGCAGAGGGGTGGGAGCAGAGGGGTGGTGCAGAGGGGTGGAGCAGAGGGGTGGGAGCAGAGGGGTGGTGCAGAGGGGTGGGAGCAGAGGGGTGGGAGCAGAGGGGTGGTGCAGAGGGGTGGGAGCAGAGGGGTGGTGCAGAGGGGTGGAGCAGAGGGGTGGGAGCAGAGGTACTGTGGGGGCCTCACCTTGGCACATCAGTCAGTGGAAGCCCAGCTCTGACCAGCCCCTCCAGGGAGACGGTGTAGGCGTCACAACCAGAGCCAGGTGCCAAGACTAAAGTGAGACTCTGCTCCCGCCCCATCAGTCTCTGGCAACTTCTGTTTTACTTTCTGTCTCTACGCTTTTGGTTCCTCTAAGTACTTCATATTTGTGAAATCATACAGTGTTCTTCTTTTGTAACTGGCTTATTTCACTGAGCACAGTGTCTTCATGGCTCATCCAGATTGCAGTGTGTGTCACAATTTCCTTCCTCCCTCTTTCTTTCTTTCTTTCTTTCTTTCTTTCTTTCTTTCTTTCTTTCTTTCTTTCTTTCTCTTTCTTTCTTTCTTTCGTCTTTCTTTCTGTTTTTTTTGACACAGTACAGTGGTGAGATCTTGGCTCTCTGCAGCCTCAGCATCCCAGGCTCAATGTAATCCTCTTACCTCATCCTCCCAAGTAGCTGTGACCACAGGTGTGAGCCATCACACCCAGCTACATTTTTATTGTTTTGTTATTTTATTTTTATTATTTTTATTTTCTTTTTGAGACGAAGTTTCACACTGTCGCCTGGGCTGGTGTGCAGTGGGGTGATCTCAGCTCACTGCAACTCCGCCCCCCAGGGTTCAAGTGATTCTCCTGCCTCAGCCTCCCAAGTAGCTGGGATTATAGGTGTGCACCACCATGCCCAGCTAATTTTTGTATTTTTAGTAGAGATGGGATTTCACTATGTTGGCCAGGCTGGTCTCAAACTCCTGACCTCATGATCTTCCCACCTCGGCCTCCCAAAGTGCTGTGATTACAGGCATGAGCCAACCGTGCCTGGCCCATTTTTATTTTAAATTTTTTGTAGAGCAAAATGTTGTCCAGGCTGGTCTCGAACTCCTGGCCTCCAGTGATCCTCCTGCCCTGGTCTCCCAAAGTGTTGGAATTATAGCTGCGGGCCACCCGCGCGGCCCCCCTAGTTCTCTTGTCCTCCTCCCCCTCACTAAGACAGCCAGAACAATGAATAAACAATTAACTTTCGTTTTTCTTTTTTTTTGAGACAGAGTTTTGCTCTTTTTGCCCAGGCTGGAGTGGAATGGCGTGATCTCAGCTCACTGCAACCTCCGCCTGCCGGGTTCAAGCGATTCTCCTGCCTCACCCTCCAAAGTATCTGGGATTACAGGCGCCTGCCAACATGCCCGGCTAATTTTTTTTCTTTTTTTCTTTTTTTTTTTTTTTTGAGACGGAGTCTCACTCTGTCACCCAGGCTGGGGTGCAGTGGCGTAATCTCCACTCACTGCAAGCTCTGTCTCCCGGGTTCACGCCATTCTCCTGCCTCAGCCTCCCGTGTAGCTGGGACTACAGGCGCCCACCACCGCACCCGGCTAATTTTTTTTTTGTATTTTTTTAGTAGAGATGGGGCTTCACCAGGTTGGCCAGGATGATCTCGATCTCTTGACCTCGTGATCTGCCTGCCTCGGCCTCCCAAAGTGCTGGGATTTTAGGCGTGAGCCACCGCGCCCGGCCAACAATTAACTTTTAATCAAAATAACTGAGGAAGAGCACCAGAGTGCTTTAGAGGAGTAACAGAAACCTGGAGAGCAGAGAAACTCAGGATGGCCGCATGAAGAACAGAAGGAAACACTGGGCCTGCACCCCAATCCCCAACCAGGATCAGCTGGGAATGAGGCAAGGAGGTCAGCAAGGGGATCCCAGGAGCCCCACCAGCACCTTGGACACCTACAGCCCTTATCACTGGCGTCCCCTGTCTTCACAGGCACTAAGCCCAGGCAAGGGGGCTGCCTGAGGCCACACAGCTGAGCTCCCTACAGAGGAGTCCACAGTGAGCCCATTTCCTGTGGTCATGTGGCTACCGCACTGCGCCATTGTTGAACTGGAACTACGGCCAGAGCATATCTTGCCCTGGGATTGAGTAGCCACAGTTGCCCTTCATCCCTGAGACTACGCCACCACTGAACCACCTCAGCCTGGTGGCTTCATACCCCTCTACTGAGCCGTGAGCAGCAGTCACACCCTTGCTCCTGGGGCCAAGCAGAGGTAGAGGTGCTCCACCTAACCTTCCCCCTTCTCCACTCAGGCCAGAGCTGAAGCCACAACCTGCCTCCCAGGAAAACAGCACCTTGGCTGCTCAGAGCAGAAGTTGGAGAAGCGTGCTGCATTCCAGGAAACGGTGCTGGGGCTACCCAGAATAGTCACATTCCCCAGGCCTAAGCTAAAGCAGTCCACTTCCCCCAGGAGATCACTGCCCTGGCTGAGCTGAGCAGCTGTGAATCCCGGGGCTGACCTGATGTAGTAGCTCGCATCCCAGGGAAACAGAGCAGTGGCTGAGCTGAGACACTGCCCTATGGGCCAGCTCCAGCACCTTGCCTCCCTGGAGCCAGATTAGCCTCCTAGAGATGGAGCTGCGGAGATAGCCCTCTCCCTGGAAAGTGGAGTCTCCCTGGGCTGCTCCCTGCCTTCCCCTGCAATGTGCTGTTTCCTGCCACCTCCCTCCCCAACAGGGCCGAAATGACAGCTGTGCTCTGCCATTCTGCCACTGTATCTGGCCTCATGAAGTCTGGGATACTGCCAAGCCCCACCATCTCGGGGCTTAGAGTTGCTACTGCATGGAGCTTCAGCCCCTGAACCCTGAGTAGCGCTGAGCCCCTAAACCCTGAGTTATGCTGAGCCCCTGAACCCTGAGTTATGCTGAGCCCCTGAACCCTGAGTTATGCTGAGCCCTACTGGCTCAGGTCCCGGAGTGGCAGCCATACTCTGATCCCCAGATTTAAACCTGAGAACACCACATCTTCCCCAGAGTTGGGCCACTGCTCTGCCCTGTCCCACAGGGTAGAATCACAGCTACAACCCAGCCCCCTGGGCATGACCTGCTAGGGAGTGCATCAGAGGTACAGATCCTGGCTCTGTGGGCAACGCACATTCAACCCTGCCACAGAGAGTAAACCTGCACCCAATGACCCAGGCCTTGCCTCAGTTTGTACGCCAGGCCCTGAGCCTAGGACCCCAGCTCCACAGCTACTCCAAGCACCTGCAAATGAAAGCCAGTGCCACTGCATCTTCTTGTAGGCCATATCAAACTTGACACCAAAAGGTGCCCTTTGGCTGCATATCCCCATTGTGGGGAAAATAAGAATAGGAGGATCCCAAAAGCCCTTGACATCAAGGACATTAACAAACACTGCCACAAATCTCTACAGCCTGGGCCTTGAGGCACCCACAGTTATTGCTGATGCTCAACACAGCTGAAGAGCTGCATGGAGACCATATCACTGCACCTATCTGGAAACACGGTCGCCACACCATTTCCAACCAGCACACTATGACCCAACTGCAGGTAAAAGTCTATCTCTACGAAAGCCACTCTAGAAACTCTGAAAGAGGCAATTGTTCCACCAGATGTACAGACATCAGTGCAAGGATACAGGAAACACGGAGCAGCAAGAAAATTTGGCACCAAAGGAACATAACTGTCTAGTAACAGACCCTAATGGAAAAGGAAATCAGTGAACTGTCAGAAATAAATTCAAAATAATGATCTTAAGAAAACTAAACAAGGCTGGGTACAGTGGCTCACAGCTGTACTTTGGGAGGCCAAGGGGGGGTGGATCACCTGAGGTCGGGAGTTCAAGACCAGCCTGATCAACGTGGTGAAACCCCGTCTCTACTAAATACAAAAAATTATCCAGGCATGGTGGCACGTGCCTCTAATCCCAGTCACTGCGGAGGCTGAGGCAGGAGAATCAAACCATGAGCCAAATAAGCCCCTTTTCTGTATAAATTACCCAGCCTCAGGTATTCCTTTAAAGCAATGTAAGAATTCACTAAGACACCCCCGAATTCTCCAGATCCCTCCCTGCCCATCACCCTTGGTGTCTATTCATTTGATGCCTGGAGGTGTAGCCTCTGTCTCCCATGGCCTGTGGGGAGTGTGGTTCTGGGCAGGGCAGATGCCAGCATCCCAACAGGGCTTGGCCATGGTAGCAAGAGCTCTGAGTCCTCTGGACTCTGACTGTCTCCCAACCCATGTGGATTTCCTACCCAAAGTCCAAACCTGCCTGCCTATTCCCCACATTCCCCCAGACCTCTGCTTCTTTCACAGGCAGCCACACCACCCTGTCCTTATTCCATCACCCCACCCCAAGGTGCTCCAGCTGACTCTCCTTCCAGTTGGCTCCTCCAATCCCAGTTCCACTCTCAGTCTCTACCTTTCCTCTTGCCTCGCCAGCATATGGCAATGGAACCCTGGGGCCCTGCTGTCACCCACAATGGGCCACTCTGGGATGTGGACATCGCCTTTTA